GTTTTTGATAGGTTCTGACTAAATTATTAGGCTTAAACAGAGTAAAACAACGTAGTTTAGGTATTAAATAACGTAGTTTAAATGCCCAATTCGTAGGGAAAAAGACCAAAATTACCCTAACTTAAAAGCTGACGAGGGCTAACCACGACACCATTGACGGTCCGTCGTTGGGACTACAGCCCGTCAAGTGGGTCGTGGTTCTTGGCCAGTGCTACTGGTTCTGGGTAACCCCCTCCCACGGTCCACTTCACGGACCGTGCGAAGGACCACGGACCGTGAAGGCCTCTCTGGTTCTTCACTTAGGGCTAGGGGCATGCTAGCTCAAGACAACGGACCCGCCCACGGCCCGTCATCAAGACCACGGCCCGTGGTGGGCTCCGTGGTTTGAGGCCTAAGCTTGGGTGTTCACTGCCTAGCCTCCACGAGCCTTCCCACGACTCGTGTGGTGGTCCACATCCCGTGAAGGGTCCCGTGGTCCACCACTTCTAGGTGGGTGTGAACCACGGGCAGGTCGACGGACTGTGGTTCCTTTCACAGTCCGTGAACCCTGTCGTGGTTCACCAAATTTATGTGTTTTTCTGCTGAGAGTCCAAGTCTTATTTTTGAGATGCTACAAGGAAAAAGACCAGTGACTTAGAGTTTGCGATTTTGTGCCTCTATGGAATGAACATTGACATTGTGTAAAGATTGTCAAAGGAAATTGAAGCACTATAATTCTTTTGTAAAATAATATTTTCAAAAAAGGTTTCATATTGCCAATGACATTTTGATTGTATGGGAAAAAATGTGGAAAAATTAATTTCAAATACTCAAAATATTTTTGAGATCATATTTTAAATGTGGGGTTTCTTTGCTTATGGTAAAGATAAAATTATACTTCGTGCTTCATTTAAATTTTATAGCACAAGATATGAAATTCAATAATACTTTTGTATTATGTTAGACCCACAAAATCCTTGGAGTATATTTGATTTTGTGGTTGTTGAGTTTCTCTTTTACTAGTATATGGTATGACTAGTATGAAGCTACCAAATTATATATATACTTGTTCAAAATGATTGTGTTCTTTTTTGAAAAAGTGTCACTTAAAATATTGTGATTTTTCATGAAAAGATATGTTTATTAAATATAACTATTTGTATAGACATGAATATTGGTGAATAGTCATTTGTCATGTTTTGTAAAAGAAGCATTTAGATTATATTGCCTTTATTGGACCCGATGAAACTATGTTCATGGGTAGTTCTATAACAATCAAATTGAAAGTTATGGAAAGGTCCTTCTGAAAAGGACATTTGACAAGGTGTTGACTCTAAACAATGTTTGTATCACACAAAATTGTAATAAGTAGGAACAAAATATTTGTGAGAAAAAGCTACCTCACAGAGAGCTTTCAAACTCAATATTTTTATTTGTTCTTACTTTCTTAAGTAAAACTGTTTGTGACATGAACACTCGGGACATATCAATTACAAAACCTTGTAAGGAAAACTGATATGCTAAGCATTCTTATAAATCTGTAGAAAGGAACTTTAATCCCTGAGAGTTGATTTACACTGATATTTGTGATATGAAGTCAACACCATCTCGTGGTGGAAAAAAGTATCTCATAACCTTTATTGACAATTGCATTAGATACGATTATATCTATTTGATGAATGGTAAGGATGAATCAATAGAAACATCTAGACAATATAAAATTGAAGTTGAAAATTAGTTGGAAAAAGATAAGAAGTGATAGGGACGGAGAGTATGAATCTCCTTTTGCAGAAATATGTTTGGAAATGAAATTATCCATCAAACTACTGTCATATTCACCTCAATCTAATGTAACTGCAGAATGAAAAAAAGTTGAACTTTGAAGGAAATAATGGATGCATTACCTATAAGTTCAGGTTTACCACAAAATTTGTGTGGTGAAGCTATCCTTACAGCAAAAGGAACAATAAAAAGTTTTGTCTGTTTAGAAAGAAAAACAATAAAAAGTTTTGTTTGTTCATAACATAATCTATTCCATATGAGAAATGGAAAGGAAGGAAATCCAACATGAAATATTTAAAGTGTGGTGGTGTCTAGCCAAAATCCAAGTTCATATTCCTAAAAGGATCAAAATAGGACCTAAAATTGTGGACTTTAAAATTAAACTTGAGTAGTCTAATGAAGGGTCTAAAAGATCTTGGAAAGAACAAAAGGAGAATGTACTTAATAAAGAGATTCAGAGGCGTAGTAAATGTCAAAGGACATCTACTTCCTTCGGATCAGATTTTGCATCATTTCCTATGTCTTCTGTGGACTCATCATTTTGAAAAGATGGTGTCAATAGTGAGATTGATTCAATCTTGAGCAACCATATTGAAAGTTAATTGACTTCTTCTAGAAAATAAACCTTTGGCTTCAAAGTGAATCTTCAGAAGGAAAATGAAAGTCGATGAAACTATTGAAAAATACAAAGCTAGTTTTTTTGTCGAATGTTGTAGACAAAAATAGGTCTTGATTTTTCCGACTCATACTCGCTAGTAACTAGAATTGCATTCATTCGGATGTTAATTGCATTAGCAATGGTATATGACCTCCAAATTCTTCAAATGAATGTGAAAACAACTTTCTTAAATGGAGAATTGGAGGAAGAAATTTATATCGAACAACCCGAGGGTTTTGTGGTTCCTAGTAAAGAAAAGAAAGTGTGCGAACTTGTTAAGTCACTTTATCGACTAAAACAAGCACCCAAACAATGACATGAGAAATTTGACCAAACCATGTTGACAAATGGATTAAAGAGTGATGAAAGTGATAAATGTGTTTACATTAAAATCACAAGGTCATTGGTTGTTTGTATATTGATGACATATTGATCATCAGTATAGACACTAATGACATAAATGGTACTAAACATATGCTAGAAAGCAAGTTTGATATGAAAGATCTTGGAGTTAATGATGCGATCTTAGGTATAAGAATCCTTAGAACTCCATAATGTTTAGCATTGTTACAGTCTCATTACATTGAAAAGGCACTTGACGAGTTCAAATATTTGGATTTCAATGTTGCCAAGACTCCAAAAAATGTAAACTTTGCATTTCAAAAGAGTGAAGGCGAAAGTGACTCACAATTTGATTGTGCTAAAGTATTGGGAAGTATGATGTATATCACGAAGTGTACGTGATCAGATATAGCATGTACTATTAGTAAACTGAGTCGGTTCACGAGTAATCTCAATCAAACTCATTGGCTGGCAATGAAATGAATTTTGGGGTATTTCAAACATACTCAAAACTATACATTCCATTATAACAAATATCCAGCTGTATTGAAAGAATATAGTGATGCATGCTGGATCACCGAAATCAAATAAAGTAAAATCCACGAGTGGATATGTATTTACTCTTGATAGAGGAGCAGTATCTTTGAAATTATCCAAATAGACATGTATCGCTAGCTCTACAATGATCTATGAGCTTGTCAGTCTAGATAAGACCGGTGAACAAATTGAAAGACTCTGGAATTTTTTGATAGATATTCTCTTTTGGCCCAACCATAGGCATCAATATGCATACACTTTGATAGTCAAGATACAATAGGTAGGGAATGGAGCATGAAGTATAACGGAAAGTCTCGTTATATAAGACGTAGATATAATAGCGTTAGAAAACTACTCTCTAGTGGAATTATCACAATTGACTATATAAAGTCAAAGGACAATGTGTTGGATCCACTTACGAAAAGGCTTAACTAGAGAGAAAGTTGAAAGATCATCTAAGGGAATTAGTTTACGACTTAGGACAAGTCATCATGGCGGTAACTCTACCTGTTAATGAGTTAATAAAGTTTAAAGTTTTTAATAATTTGCTAAGTTTGGCAGGTTTGACCAAATAGTGTATCTACGCGATGACACGGTTAGAAATCACCTATATGAGTGTGAAGTGTAAGCTGATTCAAAGAGAATCATTGTAAAAAGCCTATTCTATATACACTCATTAAATCAGGAGGTGTTCATGACTGAAACGAACACAACCGTAAGAACCATAAAAGGTAAAAGGTTGATTGTGTGACATATGGTTGTGTAGGTATACACCAAAGCTTGACGGTTCAAAGATATCAAATCTACCGATTGACCAAGTATATCCGACATATGTTCAGTACGGAAAGTTCAAAGGAAAACCTACTTATCCAGATGCAATTAATTCTTGCTTGTTAAGTATACACACTTGTTCGTTTTTTTGTCTTAGTCATTCCCCATTCATGCAGGGGGTTGTTGGGTTTTAAAATGTGTGAATGGAAAATGAAGAGTTGTGACTTTTATGAAAAGTTGCGACTTTTATGAAGAGTTGTGACTTTTTATGAAGAGTTGTGACTTGAAAAGTTGTGACTTTTATGAAAGGTTGTGACCTTTTCGAAATATTGCGACTTTTCCAAAGGGTTGTGACCCTTCCGGTAAAGTACAATAAGCACCATTTCACACAACCTTTTGTTGTCTATAAATAGAGGGATTTCCTCTCATTTTGAAAAAAAAAAAAACAAATTTTCAGGACTTCTTCTACTACTACTAAATCTAGTATTCTAAGTGTACTTAACTATTGTTGAGTGGTTCGCTGACACCGTGATTTTAGGTACCGATACACCAGTGAGTAAGATCGTTCTATCCTGAGAGGATATATTCCATTAACCTCGGGTACCTGAGGGGAATAATTTCCTTAAGGGGACACTGTACATTTATTGGGGTCAATTTTCTTCTTTAAGAAAAATATTTTGTATATTGTTTCTAATCTATTTGATTCTTTTTTCTCTATTGATTTTAATTTTCTAGTTTCGAAATACTCTTTAAACTTTGTTGTTTCTTATCAAGTTCTTCAAAGTTTTGTTCTAAGTATCTTAGGAATGCACGATGAACATCTGATTGTACAAATTCATAAAACTTTCTAATTTAGTTTCAAGTCTGGAGTACATTACACCTAGTAGTGTATATCACTATAGCATTAACCCAGATTGAGAAGAATCATAAATGACAAGAAGTACTGCTTTCCACTCAATTTTTCTACATAATGAACAAAAATCCATTGAACAATCCTATATAAGCTGCAAGTGTTAATGGTATCAAAGAATGGAGCATATAATTACATCATTAACTAGTGGTGGAAATTGTAGTAGCAACCAAAAAGTGAAAATGACCATATATAGAAACCATCGTAAAAGCTTTCGTGGTTGCTCAAATGAAAGCTATTGATTTATAGATTGAAACACACAAGAAAATCTAAGTAGAAGCTGCAGCGGATACATCCTTTGTCCCCGAAAGGAGTTCAAGTGTGAGGTCTCCTACTCCTATTGGCGGGCCAATACTGCAGCGGTCTGTATTATGTAATTGGATTGCATCTTTTATCTTCTGGAACTGCATAAAAGATTACCACAACAAGGTTAGCCATATGGAGAAGCTAATTTTGGTTAGCCTCAAAGGACTGCCAATAATTTGCCATGAATAACCAAAGATCTATTAGTAAACATAGACTGGGATAATTGTCCTATTCAAATTCTTGAGTGATAGAAGTTGATCATACCCTATCTAAAATGAAACAATAAAAATTATTTAAGAAAAGTCTCAACATGTCCTTCGACCTTGTAATTCATTTGTCGCCATGATCAAGTGAAACTAGTAAAAGATAGTTAATTATCAGATGACTTACTTTGGCCAGTGAACAAGAGAAGGACTCTAGTTGTCCATCAGCTCCGCGGTAGAAATGGAAATAAGGGAGGACTTTTACATTCAAAGCTTTGCACATTGACTTGTTTGCATCAAAATTGACTTTCAGAAACATGATTTCAGGGTGCTCCTGGGCTGTTCTGCAGAACTGCAAAGTGAAAAATGTAAAATCAAATTCTAGAAAATGGAGAGAAAGAAAACTTAAAGACCAGTTATCTTCTTAATATGGCTTGATATACAGATTCAACTATTGTTCAAGTAATCATGAAAATCATTAGGAGCACAGGAAACTATATATGAAATGCGAAAGACTTGGGCGAGGAGATCAATTAAAATCCTTTTAGGGTGTGTTCGGTATGGAGGGAAATGTTTTCCGATTTTCTCATGCTAGGTTGGTCAAATATTGGAAATTATTCTCTAGGAAAATAAGTTGGTTAAAAAGAAGGGAAATGACTTCCTTAATATAAGTAGGGAAAACAAGTTATACAAATGGGATTTCATACTGATAATGTCCTCTCCACCTTCCACCTTCCACCACACCTAATCTCCACCCCACCCCCTATAGCCCCCATTCCCACCACACCCCCAACTCTCAAAGTATTTGTCTAGATTATATATAAATAATTTTAGGATAATATTTTTAGCATACATACCGAACACAAGAAAATAGTTAAGGAACCACCTTATTTTCCTAGAAAATATTTCTCAAAAAACATTTTTCATGAAAAACATTTTCCTTCATACTGAACACACCCTTAAAGAAGCTGATTCAAAAGTTATCATCCTGTTCTTGTAGCTCAACCAAACTGTATAGGAAAATGGACCACCAGCGAAATAAATAGGATGATGTTTCAAATTAATTATGCTTTTGCACAATCCTTTATATGATATGTATCAATAAACAATTTCAGTGGCAAGAACTATTTTACTTCTTATATTCTGTCTGCTATGTTAGAAGATGCAAGTTCTCAGTAATTAAAATCAGACACATGCTGGAATTAAGTCTCTTGTTCTGTTTAGACAATCAAAATGAAAATCTAAATATATGCATATTTAGTGGTGATTTTGTTCTAGCAGCAGGACAGACATTATGGAAACAGTACCAACTTTAATTGGATATTGCGATCAATAACCTTTAGATGTAAAGAAATAGCTTTCCCCAGAAGTTTTATACTATTGTAAACCAAGTTTAGGCACAAAATCCACAAGAGAAATACAACTCTATTCAACAGCTTAAGGAAAACTGCACTTTTTGTTTTATTTGTAGTGCAAAGTGGATCTTTTAAATGAAGCTGAATCATCCTCAGAGTTGTTAAAGTGCCTATATGTTTAGGAAGGGATATACCTCCTTCCTTTTTTCACACTTATGGCCACTGGAATATTGTACAGAATCTACTAGCACAATCTGCTATATTGAATACAAATCTTACCAGATGAAGAAAAACAATACCCACTAGAGAAAACAACTTGTAAGGGAAATGTTTCTTTTCCCTCTACTACAGAACATCACAACCATGTTAGTGTCAAGGAAAAATAATCCAAATGGACGTAAGAGCAGATTATAATGATTATAGTTCATATGTGATAGAGAAATGGACTTTGGGCCTAACTCAACACCAAAAGTTAGCTCATGAGGGGAGGATTGCCCAAGATCATATAAGGAGACCAAACAGACATTGGCCCCACCGATGTGGGTCTCCCCCACATGCCAGGGTTGGAATCTGGAGCGCGGAAAAGATAAGACGAAGGATTGGAGTGGGGAGGGGGAGGGGGGGAGGGACAACATCCAAAGCAGTGAATTGGGATGGGCCTGGGCCTGACTCTGATACCATGATAGGAAATGGACCTTACACACTCAACCCCAAAAAGTAGCTCAAGAGGTGAAGATGGCCCAAACCATAAAAAAAGACCACCCACCCCATAATTGATCGATGTGGGACTTCCGCAACACCCCCCTCATGTTTAGGGTTGGAAATATGGAGCATAGACAAAATTAATATGGGGGCCCAACATCGTGAACGAGAAATGCAATGGGTCCTTCTCTGATACAATAATAAAGAAATGGACCTGGGCCTAACTCAACTCCAAAAGATAGCACATGAGGGAAGGATTGTCAAGACCATATAAGGAGACCAATTTGCCCTTGGCACAAACGAGGTGGACTCCAAGAATATGAGTAGAAACTACCAAAAGATCCTTCAAAGTTGTTGAAATAGAATGAATTATCTTCTTTAAACTTAATCTTTACATTAGAAATAACACATCAGCATAAAATTATCGGCTTTCATAACAGGCGCAGAAAGAAGTGCTTACCTTGGGAAATAGTGCTTTGCAGGAAGCACACCATGTTCCATAAAATTCTACAATAACAAGTCTATCACCGGCCTGACTTAGAGCATCCAAGAATTCTTGTGTTGAATGAATGTCAAGCATGTTAGGCCCTGCATTTCTCTCCCACCATTTAGGTTCCTCAGTTCGAGTAACGGTAGCGTGTGCCTAAAAAGCATTGACAAAAGACACAAAATGTGTAAAAAATACTTTTAGGGATTTAACATATATGCAGCAAGATGGAAATCCTCATGAAGATAACTGTATCTACTTATTCATAAAAAAAAATACCAATTTCTGTTCAAACCAGTCCACCCAAGCTTAGATGGTAAAATTTAGTAGGGATGAGTAATGAACCAAATTTGGTAACTAAATTCTATCTAAACTCTCAAAATAAATAGAAACACGTTGTATCAAAATTACTACAATAAAGAAATGTGTTGTCGCTATTCAAAATGCATTATCTTTTAATCCTTTTAAGATGGTCTAGCAAATAAACAAGCTTGTTGGAGCAGAACTGAGAAGTGAGAACCTGAATGATAACCTTAGAGGAGGTATTATCTATCCCCTCGTACCCACCAATCAAGTTTGAAAACTAAAAACCTATTCAATGATCATAATGCGAAAGTTGATGGCATTAGATTAGATCAGAAGGATTAGATTATGATTTATGAAAGGAAACATCAATTAAAATGTGTCACAAGAGTCCCTCATGGTCAGAAACCGCTCTTAATATCATTAAGGATGCAAATTGGGTTTGGCATCCAAGGCTGCTACCTTTAGCCAATTCCATAAGTAACTGCTTCAGACCAACCAGAACATTCCATGAACTAGGAGAGATGATCTCAAGTTTTCCATTTTAAGCTTGGGCACAAGGAAGCCCAGACAGATACCAGCCAAGTTTGATCAGTTTGAAAGTTCAAAACAATCTTCATAAATACTACAGATGGTCACTGACAGCATGTCATGGTTACAAGTGCATGCCTTCCATGCGCATTATCAATGCAGACCAATGTCTGAACCAACCAAGAATGAGTTTGATCCTTACTAAAGGAGCTTTTCTATTTTGGTACTAATTCAATTCACTAAGTCTCTTAATTCTTAATCAATGACATACAATAAAATAGTAAAAAAGGCCAACCTAATCTTTTCTATTCCGTTCTTTCGCCAGTATAACAAAAGACCTTAGCTAATTTACTCAAAGTCAATTTCCAATAGTCATTATAGGCTGAACTTATCTGGGAAAACCACTTCAAACCTCACCAGTAAAAACTTTATCCCAAGGATCTTCAAAGAACCACATGATAGAAGAAGAAACAGCAAAAGACAGTTATGCATGTACACTTTTTATGGCAGGGGTGCACCCATTCAGTTAACGTAGTAAGTCAACGTTACAGTGATGCAGTAACCTATGAAATAAGGACTAGTTCACCTGACAAAAAGCCCATAGCAGAAAGTTAGTCGGTTATGTCATTCAAAAACTTGATCCTCTATGAACATTGATGCTAAAGTTAGTCGCTCACCGTGCTATAACTTTTCTGCTTTACTAACATTCAGTATAGTGTTCCATTCTCAAAACATAGTCAACTTAGTAAACCCTGACCTTTCATTATTCAAGAAACATAAAGTCTTCTACAGAACATTGTGCTAAATGACATATTTGGTGAATTACACAAGTCCCTGATAACTAAGTCATGATTAATCATATGAATGTTAGTCTTTTAGGTCAGCAGCAGTGTCCAGCTTGACTATACTAATCCGGTTAATCCTATGCATCTTGACTGCTAATTTAGTGATTACTAGTATAAATCAGCATAAAGACATACCTAATTTCAACATTTGAATACAATTAGGTTTTTCAAGAGAAGGATAAAGACAACAATGATACCCTCCCACAACTGCTAACTTAACAACTTTTTCAAAGAAATTTTTATCTTGAAAGACCTCAAAACTCAAATAAGCTAAGCACAACTAGTGTGTCCAATATCCTGAATTTAAAGGAAAAATTTCAGTAAAAGGTGGAATCTTTACCTTAACAGTAGGAAATCGCTTGTTGGGGGTGAAGGCAATTCTGGAAACAAATTCTAGAGAAGTTGAAGGAGAATCAGAAAAAGAAACACCCCTTTTATGCAACTTTTGATTAGGTGTTTGGGTAGAATTCAAAGATGAAGAGAATGAGGTTAACAATGAAGAATTTGGAGAAGAACAAAAACCCAAAGAGTTCAAAGAAAATCTCATTAAATCAGCCATACAACACAAAATAGTTCAGAGCAAAAAAGTAAGTTCCCTATATATATACAAAGATAAGATCAAGTATAACCCAAGCTATATCAATGGAAACTCAGCAATTTGGAAAACGGAATCCATTGAACTGAAGGGGTAGTGATGTTTGAAGAGATATTGGCATTACTATGTGTATTACTGTTGAATTAGTTGAAAAGGCTTGACCACACACCCCATAAATAAATAAACATAAAAGGAGCGAATGCATGTGAATAAATTTGTGTGAACCAAATTTTACGAGGAGAACGATCTACATAGATATTTTTTTATTTTATTTTATTTTATTGTTTTTTCTACTTTGATGGGTACTCGACCAAGTTGGTTCTTTTTATTGCTCTTCTAGGAGGAAAATTGATAACTTCCTTATGTGTGGATGTTGGTATGTGATTGGCAGTTTGATAAACGGTATAGAAATAGATTAGAAAATATTATCTTTATTTTTAATCCGTCATAGTTTTCATATGTTTTTTCATCTATTGCGTATTCTTCTTTATTCATTTATAAATTGTGTTGTAGTTTATATTCTAAGTTTTCTATTTGTATTTGTAGATATAAAATAGTTTTTCTCTGTGCTATTATAGATTTTTTACAAATTCCTGCAAATATATTATTGTTAAGTCTATTTTGCCTATGTCTTAATTCTTGTCTTTTTGCTATAATTATTTCAGTAAGTTTTTGTCTATATTCGTTATTCTCGCTATTCATTGTATTTTTAAATATTGAATATATTTATATTCTATTTTAGATATATTATCTATTAATTGATCTAATTTGTCGTTATCAGTTTTTGTGATATTGAGTTGTTTGTATTTCGGATATAATTTGTTTAATTTTCTTCTTATTTTTCTTAATTTTCTACTTGTATGTTTCTTCTTATATTTCTTCACATACATAGCTCTGATACCATTTTTTGGGAGTGCGGAATTCATCGGTGAGGGATTCATATTTTTTGTAGTGTGGTAGGTGGTAGTATGGTATGTGAGGAATTTATTTTAAAGATCTTATTATAATATTCTTTTTTCAAGGGTATTAATCTTGATATCTCTTTAATATTATTTATGATATATTCTAGATATAACATATCTTGGGTTCTTTGGTACATATATAAATTATTCACCATTAATGGTATCAGAGCTATGGATTTATTTTGCCAAAACTATTAACCAGATATTGCAAGCTAATTGGACACAAATACCCTGATCATCTATGTTCAAAATGTAATGGAGAAGACAACGTGATTCCCGATGTCCAGCTAGAATAAAGTCAAGACAAAGAAGATAAAGACAACTAAAGAGATAAGGCAAAGAAGATATATTTGACCCAAAAAGCCAATAGTGAATAGTACTATTATTGTAAATTATTAGGTACATTTGTAAGAAAGTAAGGATAGTAGGAATAAATCATGTAAAATAGTCAACAAGTGTAGGGTAGTATACGTTATTAAAGTATGTGCATTATTAAGTATGGACAAAGTAGTATGGACAAGTGTAAAGATTAAAATAGTATGAGCAAGTGTAAAGTAGTAGGTGTGGTAGGTATGGTGTGCATTATTAAGGGACAAGTGTAAAGTAGTAGGTATGGTAGGTGTAAGTAGTAGTGCATTATTATGCATTATTGTAAAGTAAGTAATATAGTACGTGCATTATTATGCATTACTGTAGAGATATGATAGAATTTGTAAGTGCAGTAGATAGGATTTCCTTTCTATATAAAGGAATGTACATGTAATATAATAGGCAGGCGACAATAAACGAAGCACTTTCATAAAAGTATGCCTTATCACTAGTCTGAGCAATGCCAGTACCGGGCTGAGTACCTTCCTGCCTACATATCCACCTCATTGGAAACATGGTTTCCACCTCTAACTGTCTAATAACCATTATGCCTACCCTATGGACGACTCCTTCCATTACCACTATCTACTCTACCAGCTTGAGCTAAAGCTTGGGGATTTTGTTGTTGACCAGGCTCGCCAAACTTAGTACAATACTTTTGAACGTTCCCCAACTCACTGTACTCGTAACGACCAAACCTCAAAGTTGGTCATTCAGCTGGTGCAAATGGAGTGTGATAAAAATCAAAACTGGACGGAGGCTAACTTATACCTAACGGACCTCCAACTAAAACTTGTACCGTAGAACTTTTATGCCACCAGCCTTTACCCTGGATATGGATGACAATCAGAACCATTTGTGGTTTAAGCGAACCCTTGGCCTGACTTACTACAAAGATGAAGACTAAATAAATATGTAGAAGTTGTTTAAAGGTGTACATGAAACTATAGTATAAAAGAACTTCAATAATTTATAAGTAATATATCTTAAGTAAGATATGTTGATAAAACAACTATAATAAGACTCAATTGACTCGTCTATGAGTCCTTTAACATACTTAAGATGGGTTACTAGGAAAGACCTCTGTCTACCTAAATACTCTACTAATAACATCTAACTTATATTCTCGATAAACTGGAGCCCTCCTAAAGCATGAAAGTATCACCAAAACTGGATGGAAGTGACATCATAGTGATGCAGCTACTACCAATCCCAAGTACCCAATGTTGAATCAAATAACATAAGTACATGGAATGTGCGGTATGTAAAATAGTTGAATGAAACAACTGACAACTGACCTAAATGAAGAAGTTTGAAGATAGACTGAAATAAAACCAACTGGATAGTAAAACATGCATGTGTGATTTAACCAAGAAAACTTAAAAATTAGATATATGCAATAGTAGAAAATACTGAAAATAATATATCTTCACTTTTCTTGGAGAGTTTTCCTAACCTACAACTATCATGTGAGCCTCATGATGATACTACATCTTGCCCATGTTGCCAAAGTCTTGTAGTACCTAGCTAGGGTAAAGGAAAAAATTAACTATGGTTCCAATCTCTAAGCCAATACCAAGGGCTTTCTGAAGAGTCACTCTTTTTTACCAACATCATGATTTTATGCTACACTAGCAGCATAGTCTATAATCCAAACTCTTACCCAACTCGGTGCTCATTACTACTCTCAGAAGCATGCATTATACACAATAACTATAAAGTTGTCTCACTTTAATTAGGGGGGAAACTGATAATCTAGTACTATGAGTCTATGCTCAAAAATATTTCTTTAAAACTGAATTGATCTAAACTGAACTTTACTTTAAAATTTGACTATGCTTTTCTGAAAAACACAAGACTGTGCTTTCTCAAATTGAGACATATGTTTCTTTAAAGCTAAACATGCTTTCTTTCTGGAAATATGTCTATATTTTCTCAAATCTGATATATGCTTTCTTTGAAACTGAACATGCTTTCTTTAAGAAACTCTCTATACTTTCTTTATTAAAATATGCATCTTGAATACAAAATATACTTTTTCGAACTCTTTCTTGAAATAATACACTTGAAGTTTGAAATAAGAATACTTTTTTGAAATACTTCTTTGTAACACCTCGGATTCGAGAAAGGGCAAATTAGCAATTTTCAAAAGTTTCTAGTGACATCCGACGGAGGCCAACCATGACTCGTGGAGTGAACCACGGACTATAGGTCTGGTCCGTGGAATTGCCACCCAAATGGGCTCAGAGGACCATCAACCACGGCCTAGACCAACAAACCATCATTGGGTCCACGGTCCGTGGATGAGGTCAATTGTCAGGGCCTCAAATTGTACCTTCTGATGCCAGAAGACGGACCAGCAGGATGGACCATCGGTCAAACCACGGTCTGTTGGTCATGCTGTCGTTTGGGGTTGACAATTATTTCCCTAGGGGCAATTGGGTCTTTTCCTAATTATTTTATCATAATACTATGTCATATTTCCTATGCCTAGGACCCTTATATAAGTGATTTTAACCCCAAATTAATTCATTCACTTCATTCTCTTCCAAAACAAGTTGAGTCTTTCTCTCCCAAATATATTTCTCTATCTAGAAGGTTGAAGAAGAAGATTCAAGCTAGGGTTCAAGATCAAGCCTTCATTCTTCAATTGCTTTTAGGCTTTGATAGTAAGGTATGATAGTTTTCATCCATGGATTCCTTCCATTCATGGAATTCTCAAATTCTCCTATTTTCAAAGTTAGAATTCCCTAATTGAGTTAGGGTTTTCTTCAATTGCCATGGGTTCTCTTGATTATTGATTTGAATGATTGAATTATGATCTCTTATGCATGAATTGATGAAATACTATGATTTTATGATGATTCTCCTATGAACCCATGTAATCCCCATGTTTCCAAGTTATGAGCATATAATGTGGGTCTTGGATTATGAAAGAAGAGTTTTATGAAATTAAGCATGAATTGATAGAATTAAATGAATTTATGACGAATTTCCATGAACCCATGTCTAACCCATTTTTTCTAGATGTTGATGATTGAAAGTGGGTTTTGAACCTTGAAAGGTGAATTATGGAATTATGCATGTTCTTATGAAATCTATGAAAATGTTTTAAGGATGCTTCGAGAGTGAAGTATCAAATGATAATGTTGTTGTTGTGTTGTTGAAAGTATTTTCTCATATACACATGAAAGCATGATTGCGAAAGGTTTTCTCACATAGTCAGGATTCTAAGGTTGAAAGGTCTTCTCACTGTTCTTATGAAATCTATGAAAATGTTTTAAGGATGCTTCGAGAGTGAAGTATCAAATGATAATGTTGTTGTTGTGTTGTTGAAAGTATTTTCTCATATACACATGAAAGCATGATTGCGAAAGGTTTTCTCACATAGTCAGGATTCTAAGGTTGAAAGGTCTTCTCACTTAAATGAATCAAAGATAAAGAGTTATCCTAATGAAACCTAGCTTGGATTGGTTATTGAAAGATACCTTTCCATGGATGACTTATGACCTAGCTTGGATTGGCAAGATGAAGTGCCCTTCCATGAATAATAAGAACAAGTAAGAAAATGACTATTCCGTGGGATTTATGCTTAGCACCGAGAAAGTAATGAGATGGAAGCTCTCCCGTTAGTAGAGGTCGGGTTTCTAGAAGCAATCTCCTTATCCCTTACCTATGTGTCCCCATAGGATGATTGTCTAGATAGACATTAGCTAGTGGATCCACCTAAGCTAGAAGTTCATGGTCCTTACCTTGGCAAGTAGGACAACCCTTTTCGGTGTGGGAGGCACCGTGGGATCATGTTATAGCTCACATGGTCTCTATGTCGGTTAAGGCTACCTCCCACAACAATA